TGACAAAGGAACACCATGAGAAAGGTGGGTAACAAATATTTGGGTTCAAGGCCAAAAAGGAGCACTTATACAAATGCAACATGCAAAGAAAGCTTGTAAGAAAAGGAGGACAAAATGGCTAAAGAAAAGCCATTTCTTTCTGAAAAAAAAAGAAAACACAGCCTTCACCCTTCCCCAGCCTGCCATTAGTATGATTTATAATTGTACTTACCAGTATGAACCTTGTCCTGAAGGACGGCATCCAAATACATCCGCATTTCATTTGCGTCTTTAAGTGGTACCTTATCAATTGTCAGGAAACTGGTATCCTTTAGCGTTAGCATCAGACAGCACAGTTTTCTACCATTTGGTCGTAAGGTCACAGTTTTAATATTATGGCTTAGCTGAAAGGGAAAAGCAACTATAAACAAAATCCAATTGAAAAGGACCAAAGCACTAATGCATTCAAAYGAAACACTTCACGTCAGGAGAATAAGAGGCGCTCACACAGAAGTGCTCTCCTCTGCTTCTTTTTGAACAAATATTCAACCTCACAGAATTAATGCAATCAGGTATTCTGGAAACAGACAGAAGCAAAAGGACTGTCACTAGAGCTGAACGGTCTCTATATTCCTGGCTAGGCTTTCTGAAACTTACTTTGCTGTAACATTTCTGCATGTAGAGGGCTAAGAGCTTCATGCAGCTCCACTTAGCCGTCAGACTTCTACACAAAGTTTGAATTATTATTTATGATGGTGAAATTTAAAAGTTTTGAGTTTCAAATATTAAGTTCAAACTTCCATTTAGTTAAAATTTGCTCTCAGAAAAAGCAGATTTGACATAGCTGAAATAATCTGGTTAGGAAATAAATCAGTAAGAGACATACCTAGTCTATATGCAACATTAAAAYAGTTAAGTGATATCAAAAGTTTCAGGGTTATTGTCAATCCCAAGAACAACTTTAAGAGGCTCCCTAATACTGCCTGTTATTTTATTCTGTATTATTCTATAGTTGTTGCTTCCTGACAAGTAACCTACAAGAAATTGGTCATTTAGCAGCATTTCTATCCATGCAGGTTAAGGGTAACTCTTAAAATAAAAACTCAAAACTCTTAAAAAAGAAGCAACAAAAGAGTATGCTACATCTTCTGGATAAATRCAGTTGTCATGATATATACCTAAGCATATTCACACGTTAAATTCCCTTGTCCTTCACTTAATTCTTTATTTTACTAGTGACTTCTTTGGCCTTGCCTCAGAGGAGGCACTAAGCTCCACGCCAGTTTATTGCTCTGCTCACACAGTGCTCAAACAAGCCTGGAAACCACAGCCAAGGTCACCGACAGCTGCATCCCTGTGCAGCTCCCATGAGACTGGAGGCTTCTTCTAACTCAGCTATCTGCACCCTGAGATATGCCACACGGTGATACGGGCTGCCACACCAGCAACACAAATAATGATGTTAAATCAACAAATGCCAACTAAAACTCACACCAAAGTTTTGCTATCGTGTGCCAGGGGCTGCTTCTCGCAAAATGTACACAAATTAAAATAGATTCTTGATTTTTGTTTCAATTTAAGTTGACAAACATAGAATATAAGTARAATAGGTAAAATGCACACCACTTCCACAGTGAGATTCACATCCACTGCAGATCCCCAGCTTTTTGGGAAGCCAATCTAGATCTGCCAGCAGTCTTTTGAGAGGCTGGATTTCTTCAATAAGAAACTAAAGGTTTTTTTCTGCTGGGAAAATTACACTTCTGTAATACTTTTTGCCACTATTCTTGGCCTAAAAAGCTAAAAAACATTTTCAAAGAGTCGAGAACTGAAAAGAGGCTTCACATTTCTCACCCTTGCTTAAGATGTGGAACCAAATGCAAAGGGATCAGAGTCACTTCRCCATCCCAACTCAGAGCAATCATTTCAACTCAAAATGCTGTCGTGAGAGGACACTGTGTATACTCTCCATGCACCTGCTATGGCTCAACCAAGTCGTGGGACGGAGCGGTAAATGAAAGAGTTCTTTTAGTACTCTCTAAACTACCTGACCAGCTTGTGCTGGATGGTAAATGTCTCAAATACATCATCTTCTGYAAGAAGTTTGATGACACACTAGTGACCATGGAAAGAAATATAATACTGGATCTAATCTTCTGGTTTATTTCAGAAACAAATTTAGAAAAAAAAATAAAGGTAGAGAAAGGCCCTATTGTACTCCCAGAGCAATGTGTTAACAAAGAAAGAATGCAACTTCTAAAGCAGATTTAGAGATATGTGTCACAGCTGTAATCGTTTGTGAGAACACACTGAGGAACTGGGGCTGTTGTAAACTCCAGCCAAGGAGCAGTCTGCCCTCCTGCCTGCTGCTCATTCCCACATGTGCTCTTTTCCTCACACTAGTGTCTGTGTTGATGCATCATGTGCAAGACCAGAAAGCAGATCCAGCTGAAAAATAAGTCCAAATACACCAAATTGGTCTAAGGAAGGGGCTGCTCACTTCCTCCCCCTTCACTGCCTTCCTAGCTACATGGTCCATGTCGCCCCATCAAACTCAGCTAGAGGTGCCTCTAGATCTGGCACCTGGTCCCTTCCCTAATTCAGGTAAAACACCTCTACTCATTCTGAACTAGCTCTCTGCCAAGCCCATGAAATGAAGTGGCTCCCAGAGAGACCTGCCAAGAGCCAGAGCCAGCAGAGGCGAGAGGCTGGGAGCAGGACCTGTCCCCTTGGGCCAGGGTCACCCTTTCCAGAGGCCGGATCTCCCTGCAGAGCTGCCCTTCAGGTCAGGCTTAATGCCTAACAAGGYAGGCAGCAGCACTGGGGAACCAGCACCAGGGATGGCAGCGGCCAAGAAAGTGAGTGCTCCTCTCAGGGCAGCACAGCCTAACACGGGATTAAAGTAAATGTAAGTAAAGYAAGATAAACCATTCTTAACGTTTTCCAGTAACAATAACAGAGGTAGCCACTATCCAAGAGGTAGCCACCATCCACCAATCACTGCCTTATGCCTTGGTTTGAAAGCAACACACAATGATCTACCTGCTAATTGTCACGTTAGGTTGGTTGTTGAGGCTTTGCAGCACACAAGGACAACAAACTCTGACGTTTCAGAAATAAAAATGAACTAGCGTTCACCAAGTCTACACATAGAAGTGGCTTGAAGAAAGGCTTGATGAACATTAGTGCTCAGAGTTTGCAAGAAAAAGCAGAAGAAAACACTTAGGTCAGTTAAGGCTGTTACAACATAGTAACTGATAGGGAGTTTCTTTTTTAACCTGCTTCTTTCCTCTACCTTTTTAAGTTACATAGTTATTTCTTAAATAAAAGAAAGACCTAGCAGAAGTGATGTGCAAAATAGTACTTGCCTATTACAAATGAAAAGAAAAGAAAGTGTTTAGGTTGAACACAGGAAGAGAATCCCAGTACATCAGTTCTGCGGTGAGGAAACYGCACTGCCTGGCACAGCTGAAACCTAAAACTGGGCAGGACTATAGGACTGCACCTAGTACAGCAGCCTTGCATAAAGGAACAGAAAGGCTGCAGGTACCTTAACACTGATATTCCTCAGCTGGGAGAGCTTCCAGCACAGGTGCAACCCTTTAGGCTTATATGCAGCTTCACCTCTAGATCCTGCAAACCTCTCAGTAAGAGAAAGGCTCTGTGTCCCCAAAATCTAAACACGTGAGACAAGATACCGAATGCCGTGGTGATCTTTCCCCTGCTTTTCACTTCTTTCTAGCCAACTGTATGCTCCGTGCTAACCTCGGCAGATCCTTTAACAATACACCTGAATAATTCCCAACGGAGCTACACAACGGGATTAGTGTTGAGGAAAAGAGGAACAAGAAACAGGGACAGAGGGAAGTTTATGTGACTCTTAATAGCCTCAAAGAGGATAACTGCTCAAAAAAGGGCACAATTCACGCACTGTTCAAAGAAAAGCAGGAGCATTTGGCGTACCTGAAATGTCTTTGGAATTCCTCCGACGTTGTAGTGAACCACCAGGATCACTTTGTTGTCCTTCTCCACAATTTCGAAGCTCCCTTCTTTCCACTTGGTGATCCCGGTCTGCATGCTGCGCATCCGCACGGGCCCGTGCACCTTTAACAGGGCCATGCCTGCTCCACGGAGCACTAGCAGGAGGCAGCGCACTTCACTTTGGAAACCTGTTAGAAAGCTGAATRTCAGAACCAGCTAGCAGTGATCTCCGCGGGAGGACAAAGTCGCGGCTAAGCGTTTCTGTGGACGTTTGGGAACGCGAGTTTCGTCAGTTCGCTCAGACACCTGTGGGAAAGGCAGRGCAGGAGCTTTCCCGGTCTGCACGGCAGGGCGCCGGCTCCCGCCGAGCGGAGCCCAGGCACAGAGGCGCTTTGAGCTCCCTGAAACTTTCCAGGGATTTGAGGGAGAAGGAGCGACGGGGAAAGGCGGCGGCAACAGGAGACAAGGGAGCGGGAAACGGCGCGCACCTGCGCTCGGGAGGAGCGCGCCCAAGGGCCAGAAAAGCCAGCGCGGCGGGCGGCGGCGCCCGGGGCC